GCTATGTCAATAAGATATCGTGAAACATCACCTTTATTTCTAGGAAGGATAATTCCATTTGAGTCTTTATCCTCTTCATTAGAAAAAGAATAATTGAATAAATAATTTCTGGCTAGGTTGATGGCATCTTCATATTTAAATACATTCCAAAAACCATCACACGCAACAATTATGAATTGAAATGATGAATCAATTGCCTTACTCCATATCTTTGGTTGGCAAATAACATATTTTTTCATTGATTCATCACCGATACTTCTTGAAACACCAAGTAAACCATCTACCCTCCATCCATGATTATAAAACACTTTACCACCAGCACTTTCTATTCTAGCCTTTTCTTTATCAACACTTGGGTTATGTTTTTCTGATGTAACAACATATGACCCATCATTATAACAAACAACAATCTCTGAATCTCCAACATTGGCAGTATAGATTGTGTTATCATAAATCATCACTATAGCTAATGTTGTCCCTGCATTAACTTTTGTTTTCATTGCAATTTCTTTAAATCCATTTTCAACATTGATAATACCATCTTGAATAGCATTTTCTATATTTTTTGGAAATGATTTGCTTCTCACAATTTCATTATATAATTTAAAATTACAGTAGTCAGCAGCTGAAGTTCCAACATGTCCATCAAAAACTCCAAAATATGTTAATTCCTTCTTTTCTTTTTGAATCATTTTGTTCATATTTTTAATACAAAGGTAGTAATCTTCCATTCGTGTTTTCATTCCTGAAGTAGAATAAACCGAAAACTCAATTTTACTTTTATATTCTTTGATTTCCTTTTGTGTTCGTTTCAATAAATAATTTTCAATAACATGGTCAACAATTTTAACATCAATACATTCTTTTTCATTATATTTTTTCATTAAGTCTTTAATTTCTTTTAAATCTTTCATTTTCTTTAATTCTTTTTTAAACCCCGAAGGTACTACAAAATTATTTTCATCTTTAATTTTACAGTAATACTTATAATTAATTCTATCATCAATATCAATTTTTCTTATTGCATCTAGTCCAATAACATCTTCAGAAGTTTTTTGGATGACACATTGAAATCGTTTCATTCTCTCCTCTCTTCCAATTTTTCTTAAACTATCATTACTTTTGTTTCTTGTAACTATTTGATCAGAATGTTTCATAACCCTTAATGCCTCAGGAATGAAAGCTCTTATTCCTGGTACAATAAGTCCTGGGTCTGATGCTCTTTTACTTATTCGTTCACTCATAAGACTTTCTCTAATCAAAGTTTTTGCGTTGAGGTTTGTTGGTTGAATAGACCAGTGTTTAAGTTGATAAAATAGATATAAAATGGAGTTATTAATTTGAATAAAACTTCTATGAGAAAGATGTTTATTGTGAGAAACAGTAATTGTTCTCAGTTCTGTTGTTGGAGCTAAAAAGAAAATAACCCTTCTAATAAATGGCATTAGCATAGTACTTGGCATGAACGATACAAGACTACTACGAGTAATAACTGGTATGGAATTCTTCCAACTAGCCTGTTCTAAGACCTGTTGAATTGTTTCAAGTAACATAGGTTTATGAATAATTTCAATGTTAACACACTCTAATAGATTGATATAGTTCATAGAATTTTGTTGGTCTAATAAAGCATCTGGAAAGTAAATAAGATTACAACCGTCTAAAACTAAATCAGCAAGTTCTTTTGTCAGCTTCTGTTTGTCTGTAAAATATAAAACGTTTGTGTTTGGTTCTTTTTTTCTTGCTGCACGAATTTGGGTTATACTCTCTTCTCTTTTGATATTATTTTCTTTTATATTATCTTGTACCATTTGTTCTAAAAGGGGATGATACCCTTCAATCACAAAATCATATTCTCCGTGCTTAATTATTAAAGTTAAATCACATCCTTTCATTTTATCTTTAATTACTGCAACAATTTCTTTGACTTTTTCTTTATTTTCAAGTTCTATTAAAATAAGACAAGAACCTTTATCCTCTTTTTTGATTTCATCTTTAAATACACTTATATAACCAGAATAGTATTTGCTTTTATCATTAACTCGAGGACTTAATTCCTCTGGAACTAAGAGACGTTCTGAATTTGTATGATAAAAAGAAGGTGGAGTAACTGGTGCTGAACAGTCTGAACTTATTACATTTTCATGGTGTAGGAAGGGAACATTCCCATCATCGTAGCAAACACTAAAACTATAAGCAGATGAGTATAATACTTGAAAAGAGATTTGATTTTGAAATACATTTTTATCACTTGACAAATAAAGAGAATATTGAGTTCTATTCCAATTTTCTTTTTTTGTGAAAAGAAAAGGTGAAAAGCAATCCACTTTGTTAACAACTCCATCCAAAGAGATGTGAAGGTCTATTGAAACTGGACATTGTGATTGAGTTATCCTTGGAAGTGAAATCTCAATTATTCGTGGGACTATGATAATAAATACTAACCAAAATTAATAAAAAAACTACAAACAGAGATTGTGTTGATGAGTAAATGAGGAGAAAGATAATGTAAATGAAAGAGAGTTGAATGGAATTCTGATAAGAGAAAAGTGGAAATAATCAAAGATAGTACAATTTGGTTGTGAAGAAATATAAAACCCAAAGGTTTTTGGAAAGTAAATAAGAATTTCATTCTCCGAGTTTTGTAGTTGAACCTTCATTTCAGTATTATAAATGAGTGAATTAGAAGAAACAAAGCATAGTATGTTAGTTAGTTGCACAGGGATTAGTTTGTCTGGTTCTTCTAAGTATTTTTCAATGTATTTTTGCATTGTCTCTTCATCAAATTGTTTCTTCTCAGAAGAAAACAATTCATCATTGATTTTAGATGAGTAAAATCTAATTGATGGTTGGTGTTGTAAGGCTTTCATTACAAACTAGAAAATAAATAGTTTTCAACAAATTTGATAGGCATTATTAGTGTTATATAAAACTAAATAAAGATTATTATTTTTAACTGGATTTTTTGTCAATCTCCTCCTCACTTTTTTTTCAAAAGTTACTTCTGAAAATAAACGGATTTATTGTACCGTGTAAATAGGTGTTCCTATTCCTTTTGTGAATGTCATATTTGTCATCATCATATTGATGTTTCTTGCACTTCCAAAATCCGTTAATTTACAATTAACTTCAATATTATCATCAAGTGATACAACAAGGAAATTATCTGGTTTAATATCTCGATGTAATATTCCATTTGAATGAAGATATGAAATTCCTTTTGCTCCATCTATCATAAATTTGATTCTTATTTTCTTTGATATTTCTGTAATTTTTCTTTTGTTCATTATATCTTGTATTGATCCATATTCTGCAAACTCTGTTACCATACATATTTTATTAGGAATAAATACTGCTCCATAAAAATGAATAATATATTCATTTCGAAATTTATCTAACATTGCTACTTCTTTCTCAAATTCTTTCTTTTTATCTTCACTTTCTTCAACTTGTTTCATTTTCTTAATTGCTACTTTATTTCCTCTAAATTCTCCAACATAAACAATTCCAAATGTTCCTTCTCCTATTTTCTTTTCTTCTTTTATTTCATCAGGATCAAGTCGTGTTGATATTTCTGTTTCTCCTTCAATAGAAATAATTTTGATTGTTTCTTCTTGTGCTTTATTAAGTGTTTTACTAATTATCATTATTTTATCTTTGATTTTAGTTGTACATTTGATTGTAATGAATACTTCAAATTCACATGCATATCCTCCTTCAATTGTAATGATATTTGGGTTTGTTCTAATTGAATATTTCTCATTTTCTTCTTTACTACTTATTTGTATCTTCATCTTTTCTTTTTTATCATTTCCAATACAAATTAATTCTCGTATTTCTTCATTCACTTTAATTTCTTCTCCTTCTTGAAGTTCAATTTCTTTCTTATTTGTTAATATTCCATCTCCAAGTGATATGAATTTGATATTTGATTGTGTTATTTTGAATATTGTTGTTGTTTTCTCTCGTTCTTTCTTTTCTCTTCTCTTCATTATGTAATTAACCATCATTATTATCATTACAATTGTTATAATAATGATAATAATTATAATAATGACAATTATCATCCACCATACTACTTCTTTATTACATTCATTTCCTTCTTCATTCGTTCCATACCAAAATGAACATTTCCAACATTTATTCTTCTTTACTTCTTTACATTTATTAATATCTAAATAGTAAATACATTCTTTATTTGTTAATACATATTCATCTTCACAACTATTACATTCATTCTTTATTGAACATCTTGTACAATTCTCTTTACATTTTGAACATTCTTTATTTATTAAATAATATCCTTCTGAACATTCTCTACATCCATATTCTTTATCTATTTCTCCTTTAAATCCTTTAATTTCTGTTGTTAATTTACATTCTCCTATCCAACTCATGAAATATCCATCTACACATGTTATACATTTATCTTTTTGATTGCATGTTTCACATATTCTTTCACATATTTCACATCCTTTTCCATTTCTATAATATCCTTTATTACATATTCCACATCCACTTCCATCTGCTAATAATTGTAAACATGTTCCATTTAATTCATTATTTGATTGACATGTTCTATTACTACTTAAATATGTATCACTAGAACAACTCATACAATATGTAGATGAACCAAAACATATTGTACAATTATCATCACATTTTGAACATTTCATATTTGTTGTTAAATAATATCCATCTGAACATCGTTTACATCCATATGTATTTTGTTCTTCACATTTTTCTATTGTTGTATTAATACATTCTCTACTTGAATTAAGTAATATGTTGTTAAACATTCAACACATTTTCCATTAACATATAACTCATTTGAACAATTTGAAATATTGTAATTACATTTTCCATTTTGATCTTTTATCTTTCCTTCTTCACATGTTTTATTTATACATGTATTATTATCTAATTGTTGGTTATCTTTACATTTTAATTCAATATCATCTGAATTACATATTGCTGATTCTGTACATTCTATACATTGATTATTCCTTGATGTATTTTCCATTTTCACAATATATTTCTTCATTCTTTCCATTTTTATTTTCTTTACTTTCACATGTTCCATTATTTAATGTATATTCATTTGAACATGAAACACATTCATTTCCTTCATAATAACATTCTTCTTTATCTTTAACACATTTATTATTTTCTATTTTATATCCATTTAAACATTTTAAACAATAATTCCTTTCTGAATTTTTACAATTATTCATTCCTTGACATTCTCCATTTACATTTACATATTCTTCTCCACATTGATAACAATATGTTTCATTTCCAATTTTACATCCATTCATATATTTATTACATTCATATGTTGAATCAAGATAATATCCATATGCACATTCAATACAATGGCTTTGATTATTTATTTTAGTACAACGTGAATTTTCTTGACATTTATTGTTTGAATTAAGATAATATCCACTTTTACATTTAATACATTTAAATTCTTCATTTGATTTACCAGTTAAAATAATACAATTTAGAAATGGATCATTTAGTGTTATATTTTCATCAATTGTCATAATATTATTATTACCTTTACCATTAATAGTTAGTGTTGTTGATATAGAAGAAGCAGTGAAATAATAAATACAATCACTAACAAAAGAATTACAAGTGAGATTACCATTTATAATTAAATTGAATGGGGTTTTTGATGGATTTGATAAATGTTTTATGTGGTTATTTCCACCAATTTCTAATGTATTTGTTTGTGTAAAGAAGTTTGTGTTTTGACATTCTTTTGGTTTTCAGATATTTTAGAACAGATAAATGATGTTGAGTGATTAATCTAATTCCTCTGTTATTCTGATAACAATGGGGATTTCTTTTATAGTTATATCTTTACCAAGTATAGAATAATTAACTTTATTTAATAGTATAATGATTAAAAGAGTCTAGTAATAATGTCTAATTTAAAAGAAAATACAGAAGCTTATCAGAGCTATTACAGTAGTATTGGTAATAAGAGTGGATAAATAGTATTTTCCTAAATATTGAAATAAATATTCTTTCCATTATTATTTTTCATTTTTCATTTATTAAGTTATTTGTTAAATGAAAGTGAAAAGATCATCTATTTTATGTTTGATGATTTGGTGTTACTTAATAAAGTTTTACCAAAATGATTATTAGCTTATTTAAATTATTTGTAACTTTTGTGTATATAAAATAGTATTTTAGAAAATAAAGTATAAATTCTTTTTTCTAATGACTTGGGTAATTCATTGTAATTGTGTTGATGTTTTAAATTATGTTACCTTACTCTAACATAGAAAGATGATAAAATACTTAAATTTATTTATTAGATGATGTAATTTATTATTGAAAACAATTTTCAAATTGTTTATAGTTTCCGGTTCTAATCATTAGTTTGTTTTATTAAAATAAACAAGACTTAAAATATGACATCTAATAGTTTATGGCATATACAATATCTTTAAAAATATAAATAAATACAATAAATTATTAAGATGTAATTTGACTATCTGTATTATAAATATATCTTTTATAATTTATATATTTTAATAAGACTGTTTTAATATAATTAAAAAAATGGATAAAGTAATGGTAATTTTAAATCATCAAATAACATTTATGAATAAGAAAACTAGTTTTAAAAATTTTTCATTTTAGTGTAGATTCTTGATTGACGAAATGAATATTTTTTTTAAGTATTCTATTTTAAGAAAATTATATATAGAATAGTAAATATTTTAAGTAAGTATTAATTAATTTTACTATTAAAAAATAATGATAGGCTAAATACCAAAAAAATAAAAA